TTCATCAACATCAGACATCAACTGTTCAGTTTTGTGCAAAGTCTACCTTGGAGTGATAATAAAACGACAGAAGCTATTAAGGCAAAAGGAAAACACTCCTTCAACCAATCAACAATATGACCAATCAACAAACATTGACTATTTATTATGCGTCAGACACTGTATCTCTGTTAAAAGACAAATGAGTCAGAGCCCATCCAGTAAGAGACTGATGATTTCATTGAAAGACTAAGACACATGCATCCAAACAGATGACCAATAATTCAAGGTGGTAGACAATCACAGTGTCAAGGGATGTGTATGAATATAAGAACAGTGGGGGTTTGAAAGGTACACAAGATCACTTCTAACTAAGGATAAGGCAAAAGACTTCCAGGAAAAGGTGAAACTTATATTAGATGCTGTGAGTAGGTCAAGATTTTCACAGGTAAAAGAAGAGAGAGGGCATGCCAGGTAAGTAAAATGACATGAGAAACATATCAAGAAAAGTTTGAGGAAAGTTCAGCTCAACTGGGCTGAAACAGATTTGTTATGGAGAGTAGCAGAAGAAAAACAAGAAAGGAAGGAACCACGGGACCTTACAGTTTGAAGGAATTCTTTGTTGTTGTTAAGTGTCATTGAAACATGCACACCACTACAGTATAATAAATTGACAGATGAGTGGTGAGATTAATTTGGACTATATTAATTTATTGTTTGTGGTCATTTAATCTGGGGTGGAGTTAGCTTTGTACTACTTATAAAGAAAGGATTCAATAAGTGAAGAGTATTAACAAGATTGCAAGGAAGCGAATTTAACCTACTTGGCGCTTATTTCCCCTACTATAAATTTATTTAAACTTAGTAACCTGCTAGGGGCTTATTTCACCAACTGTAAAGAACATAATTTTTTGGTTTTGTTTTTGTTTTTAAGCTTTAGCATCTTTATTATTCTAATGCAAACTAATGTTACTAATTATTGATTAGGATTCCCTTGTTGGTGCAAATGGTTAACGAACTGGCTGGCAACTGCGAGGTTGGATTTTCAAGATCACCAAGAGGGTGCTTCAGAAGAAAGAACTGGCAATCTCCTTTCAGAAAAATCAGTGGTGGAAAGTCCTTCGGAGCACAGTTCAATTCTGACACACATGGGGTCATCATGAGTCACAATCGACTCAATGGTAAGTGGCTAATTAGAGATGAAATCTGTTGAAATCTTTTATTTGTAACAGTTTCTTTGCTTTCACTGAATACTCTCATAAGAAAATATGCTTGTAAGATAGATCACAATTCAGATTCAGATCTGTGGGGGGCTTCAAAAAGTTCATGGAAAAATAGAATCGAAAGCTAATGTAATTTTTCCATGAACTTTTTGAAGTCCCCTCATATAGCCTCTTCCTTCACTCTCACGAGTAAACTACAGTTCAGGAGGTAGTATCCTAATTATGTTCTTTACAGTTGGTGAAATAAGCCCCTAGCAGGTTACTAAGTTTAAATAAATTTATAGTAGGGGAAATAAGCCCTGAGTAGGTTAAATTCACTCACCAGAGCCATGTGGAAAAACTAATAAGTAATCAGAAAAATAAAATCATCTTAGAGCCATCAAAATAGAACTCTTGAAGTTGACGTACTAAATTACTGTATCCTTGGTAGGCTCCACTTAGATCTGACTGACTCTTACTTAATATACTCATCTAGCACACTAAGCTGAAGAACTGATGGCTATTAATTTTTTTTTTAAGTCCATAACTGATTAGAAGGAGAAAAAGAAAGGGCTGTTGCATGAAAGGGCACTGAAAGAAATAAGAAGTAACTGTAGACTGCAGAAATGAGAAAGGACAGATATAAAATGTGGCTGTAATAACGAAAGGAAAAAACAAAACAAAACACCAGTCTTGGACAGCTTACTGCATAGGTAAAACACCTATTGTTGTTAAGTACAGTGGAGTCGGTTTCGACTCATAGTGACCCTGCATAGGGTTTCTGAGGCTGCAAATCTTTACGGGAGCAGAAAATGCCTATATTCCTTAGTAAATCATGAATAGAATTGAGTATTATAGTTGTGGCACTGTGGGTTAATGTGCCAGACTGCAAAGCCATTTGAACTGCAAGGTCGGCGGTTCAAGCTCACCAGTCGCTCCTTGAAACCCTATACAGGGTCGCTATGGGTCGGAACTGACTCAATAGTGCTTAACAACATCAGCAATAACTAATGACTGCAATTATGCCCTTAACTGACCAAGCAAAGTTCAAAGAATTTTAAGTAAATGCCTTAAAAAAGAAGGTAAGTTTTATACATGTATATGTATATAGAGAGAGTCCTGGTGTGGCACTGTAGGATAAACACTGGACTACAAGTTGGTTTGAACTGCAAGGTCAACTGTTCAAACTCACTGGCTGTTCCTTGGACATTCTATACAGGATCACTATGAGTCAGAACCAAGTTGACACTACTTAACAACCTAAAAATGTAAAATGTGTTGTTATTTATAGAGTGTGTAATATTATCATATAATATTAATAACAACAACAACAAAATACCATTGTTTCAAGTCAATTCTAACTCATGACAATGCATGTGTTTCAGAGTAGAATTGCTTTCCATAAGATTTTGAATGGCTATGATCTTTCACAAGTAAATTACCAGGCCTTTCTTCTGAGATACTTCTGAGTGGATTCTGGTTGTCAACCTTTCAGTTAGCAGCTACATGCTTAACCATTTGCACCAACTTGAGACGCCTTAATAATAACAATGTTGTATTAAGTGCTGTCGAGTTGGTTCTGACTCACAGTAACCCTGTATAGGGTTTCTGAGATTTTAAATCTTTGTAGAAAAAGAAAGCCTCATCTTTCGCCTACAGAGCAGCAAGTAGGCTTGAACCACCAACCTTGTGGTTCACAGTCTAGTGCTTATCTAATTTAGGAGCCACTGCACTCCCAATAATAATAAAGTTGTTGCTGTCAATTTGGCTCCAACTCATAGCAAGCCTGTATAGGGTTTCTAAATGAGCTGCTGGTGGGTTTGAATGAGTAACCTTGCAGTTAGCAGTCCAGTAATTATCCTATAGTGCAACTCCACAACTCCAATAATATTAATGGTAGTGTTGTGCTGTGGAGTCAGCTCTGACTCATAGCAACCCTGCATAGGATTTCCAAGGCTGTAAATCTTTACAGGAGCAGAGCACCTCATCTTTCTCCTACGGAGATCCAAACTATTGACCTTGTGGTTAGCAGCACAGCTCGTAATCCACTTCGCTATCAGGGCTCCTTCCAATAATAATTATTGTTGCTGTTGTTAAGTACCATTGAGTCGGTTCTGACTCATAGTGACCCTGCACAGGGTTTCCGAGGCTGTAAATCTTTATGGGAGCAGAATGCCTCATCTTTCTGCCACGGAACCGCTGGTAGTTTCAAACTGCTGACCTTGAGGTTGGCAGCCTGACTCATAACCACTACGCTACCAGAGCTTCTTATATAGTCTTCCTTAATTACTGTCCGACTTTCGCATGCATGTGAGGTTATTGAAAATACCAATAATAAATAACTATTTATTAAGTGATTAGTGTGTGTAGATACTATCGTAGCATTACATCCATATCATTTAATTTAATTCTCATGACAATCCTAAGAAGTAGGTTTTAATATCATTTCTACTTTACAATTGAATAAAGTAGACCTCAAAGATGTTAAGCAACTAACCCCGGGGGGTGGGGGGGGGGGAGAGAGAGACAGAGAGAGTGTGTCAGGATTAGAACTCAGGTCAATTCCTTGGTTATACCCCTAAGGCATTCTATATGCTAGAAAATACAGCTCTCCAATAGTCACTCTTTTCTTGAAGGCTCCACATGGCTAGTACTTTACTGTATTTTCATTTTCCAAATTCCTATTTCATAATATCTTGATTTATGCAAGCAGAATATCCATGCTCCATGTCACAAGCTGAATATAAGCATAACAGTGAAAAAACAAAACAAAACAACAACAGAAAAACCATGAGCATGTCTATTAGATTCATCCCCAAATCTCAGATCAGTCCATATATGCTAAGGGTTCTATTTCCCAATGAAGAATTCATGAACACACAGAGGAACATTTAAAATAACAAGTGATTGGTTAAGACCTGGTTCCCTTAGTTCTCCTCACTCCTTTTGGAGAGATGTGTGGTGAGAACAGGCCAATTAGACAAGGGAGGTGAGAATGGAAATGCAGAGGAAGCTAAAAATTCAGTTGGCTATTAAAGAGGGCTTAAAAACATCTGTTTCACCAGCTGTTCTAAGAGAGCTATCCGGGCATAAAACACATGTAGGCATGGTGGAAATTGAGGGAAACAGGAATAGGGGATTTGGGAGAAGCAAATACATGTAGCTATGCACATTAGGGAGTCCTGATGTGGCCCTGTGGGCGAATGAGCTGGATTGCAAAGTCGGTTTGAACCTCCAGGTCGGTAGTTGAAGCTCACCAGCCGCTCCTTGGAAACCCTATACAGGGTCATGATGGGTCAGAACTGACTCAACAGCACACAACAACAACAATTCACATTAGAAATAAATGTGAGGTTACCCTGCCACATGTAGATTCAAAGAGAAATATATAGTGGATTCATTCACTCATGCAATTCCTTCTGCTTGAATGTATGCCCTTCCCCCATATCCACTTGCCTCAAACCTACTCATTCCTCAAAGCTCAGTTAAAAATGTCACTTTTGCCAAGAAGCTGTCATGATTTTCAAGACTGAGTTAAACAATTTCCTCATATACGTATGCTCACATACATCTTTACCATGGCACTGATACAACTCATTTTATTGGAATTATTCATGTATGTTTATGAGTTGAAACTGATTCAACAGCACAAAATGACAAAAACAACAACTTCCCATCATAAGTTCCTTGAAGACAAAGGTCTAACTTTCATACCTGTAGTTCCTAAAAGTCCTACCATAATATTCAGCACATACTAGGCTCTGGGGAAATGTTAACTCAATAACACTGACTTTAAAGACACATTATGACCTAGCTTACCTGAAGGAGCATTTGTTCTCTTTCTTTTCTTGCTTGAGTCCCCTCCATTCTCAATGAGGCCTTCTGTGACTAGGGGGGCAGTGCCACTGCCAAACTGCAAGGGTTCGTTGTTGCTAGCAGGGTCAAAGGGTAGCTGGTTCAATCCTAAGGAAGAAAAACAAAGCCAAATTCCAGACACCATTAAGAACTTGGGTCGTCTCCAGAAAAACCCTTTAAATCTTAGGAGTCTAGAAGTAACAGATGGATTATTAAAGCCTATTTGTTGCCTTTTGTCGTATTTACAGATCTGGTTGACAAGTACAAGGAGCCTTGTGATATAGTGGATTATATGTTGGACTGCTGACCACAAGGTCAGCAGTTTGAATCCACTAGTTGTTCTGAGAGAGAAAGAGGAGGTTTTCTGCTCCCATAAAGATTTAGAGCCTCGGAAACCCTACATAATGTCTTTATGAGTTTGAATGAACATGCTGGCAGTGGGTTTTGGTTTGGTTGACAAGTACAGAACTTAAGTATAAGTTCTTATAAAACATGGTTCTGTCATTTACAAAAGCTACCCATTTCTGTGGGAACTTACCATTTTCATTTTTGGCTAGAAGCAGTTTAATTCCTCCCTGAAGAGATAGGCTCCTTTTTCAAGGTAGCTAGGTTTGGACTTAAGGAGTTCTGGTAGCGTAGTGGTTACGAATTGGGCTGCTAACCTCAAGGTCAGCAGTTCGAAACTACCAGCAGGAGAAAGATGTAGCTTTCTGCTCCCGTAAAGATTTACAGCCTCGGAAACCCTATACAGGGTCGCTATGAGTCGTAAGTGACTCCACCGTACTTAACAACAACAAGGTTTGGACTTGCCTTTCTTTTGGAAAAGCCTGGCTGTGTCTTCTTTGAGCTGTTCACTGACATTTTTCCATACTATCCTGGTGTCAAAATTACTATAGATGATAATATAGAGGAGTCACAAAAAGAAAACCATAACTCTGAGTAACCGGGGGAAAAAGACATGGCAATCACAAGTGAGGATTGTTGAGTAGTTAGAGTGATGGGGAGTTATGGCCCAGGTGTTGTTGTTGTTAAGTACCGTGGAGTCAGTTCCCAGGTGTGGGTAGTGTTAATCCCAGCTTTTCCAAATGATACCTGAAGCATAATCACTTTACTAGTTGCTGAGCTGCCATACAAAATGAAATCAAATGTTCTCTACTCTTTAAGTCACACACAGTTCAGTTAGGGAAGAACAGAGCTATTGCTCATCCTTCTGGCAGCAGCATCTGGAACTTGAAGTGTTTCAATTAAAACTTCATGAAATGTGGAATCAAAAGCTTTGTTTAAGTCCAAAGATAGGACTTCTCTCCTAAGCCTTTTATCCACTGGCACCCTAATCATATCAAAAGGAGAATCAGATTGGTCTGCCATGGTTCAGTTTTTAACCCTCAAGTTTGCTGTAGTCATAGTTTTATGATTCTTGAGGTAATGTAGCAAAATATCAATAAAAACCTTAGATTCAGTCACTAACGGTTAGTCAAGTTCCAGTAAAGTGACTGTTCTGCTTCTAAAAAATGACTTAACATTATTGTTTTTAATGAAGAAACATCACTATGCTAATGTTTTCAGCCCACATAACAAGTATTGTTTCATCTGCTCTCAGACTCTTCTTAGAACACCTTCATAAATGTCTTTGGGGAGTTGTCAAACATTCATCCTTTACAATATCTGAGTAACCAAGTATAAGAATGAAAACTTACTTCTTTATCTTAGTCAGACATTCACTGAGTCACATCCATGTCCTAGTAAATACTTACTACCATTAGAACGAAAGAAAGACAACTCTGATTTGTATGGATGAGAATATACTAAAATCATGGCCAAAACTATTGTTAAAGAAGCCTAGATTTTTAGATTATTTATAAATGAAGATGTTTTTTACACTTGACTACTCTTGGGTTCAAATATGGTTGATGTATTATGCCAAAATCTTTCTTGCTACAATATCACATGACCATAACAAATTCCACAGAAACAGAAAGGTATAGTGGGAAAGCATGTGCTTTAGAGCCAAATCAATCAGAGTTCAAATCCTGGCTCTGTCCCTTAGTAGCTGGGTTTTTCTCAGGTACCATCCAGCTTTTGGTAAATAATGTAATTATTCTTAGTCTTACTTTCATGATGTATAAAGGGGGACGATAACACTCCACAGGATTGTTGAAAAGATGAATATATATATATAATGAATTATAACTTATATAATTATAACTATTATAATGTTCTAAATGAATTAAAACAAACTTCCCCATAGACGTGTATGTTTCTGAAAGGAGGAATCATTCTCTCTCTGTCTCTTTCTTTTCCACAACCAAATCCCTGGTGCGTAGCCCCATTACTGGTATAAAGCGGGTATTGAGTGAATACATTAATACTCAATGGGGTGGGGGTTAGTAACTCATTCTATTATCCTCTGTAATTAGAATATGGACATTGCAGCTGAATCAAGAATGAATGCCATAACTTAAAAAACATGATGCTGATTTTATCAACATTACTTAAAATAATCAGATTTTAAATGCATCGCCACCATCTAGTACTATATTACAGAATGGTAAAAGCTTGATTGAAAGAATTGCCCAGAGATTAGGAGGTTCTGATTAGGAATGCTTAATCAGAAAAGTCTTTTTTATTTTGTCTTGCATTTGATAATTTTATAGAATGATATATTAGTTCATTTCCCTATTTTATTAAACAGATGAATGAGGACCTTACAGAGCTTTATAGCCTTGATCTATAAATGGAAGCTAGTAACTATATATAATTAAGGGGACTGTGTCACAGATTGAAGTGTGCCCTCTCAAAATATGTGTCAACTTGATCAGGCTATGAATCTCAGTGGTTTGGCAGTTATTTAATGATTTAATGATGTAGCAGTTATGTGATGATTACCCATGATGTAATCTGATGTAATCAACCATTAAGCAGATTAAGGATGGGTCACAATACTCTTTCTGGTGAGGGGCTATAGGATCAACATGAAAAGCAAAACACAAGGTTGGTAGTTCAAACCCACCAGCTGATCCTCAGAAGCCCTACACAGAGTCCCTATAAATTGGGCCCAACTCGACGGCACTTAACAACAGTGTTACCTTTCCACCACTCATCTGTCAGTTTGTCATACTGTGGTGGCTTGCGTGTTGCTGAGATGTTTAAAGCAATGCCACCAGTATTTTAAATACCTGCAGGGTCACTCATGGTGAACAGATTTCAGCTGAGCTTCCAGAATAAGACAGACTAGGAAGAAGGAGAGGCAGACAACTTCTGAATATTTAGCCACTGAAAACCTTACAAATAGCAGTGGAACACTGTCAGAAAAATCACCAGAGTATTGAATATTGAAACATGATGAAAAGCACCAGAATACTGTCAAATACAGTGCCAGAAGATGAGCCCCTCAAATTTAAAGGCACTCATAATATGACTAAGGAAGAGCTTCCTCCTCAAAGTAAGAGTTAACAGTGATGATGTGAATAGAGTAAAGCTTTTGGGTACCTTCATTTGCTAATGGGGCACAACTCAAAATGAGGAGCAATAGCTGCAAACATCCATTAATAATCAGAACATGGAATGTACAAAGCATGAATCTATGAAAATAGGAAGTTGTCAAAAATGAAATTGAACGCATAAAGATCAAGATTCTAAGTAATAGTCTTATGAATATTGATTTCCCTTGCCTACTATTGTAAAATAGACACTTGAGTGGGATAGAAAGGAATGTCAGGAAACATAATTACAGAAAGCTTGTAAGCCCATCTTCAGCCTATAACTAATTGGAATACACAAAAAGGTTCTAGAACTTGCCCAGTGAAATAGGATTCTTGTGGCGCCTTTGCAGTGTATAAGACCTTAGGTGGAATCCTAAACCCCATCCAGACCCTTCTGAAATGGGACGTTCCCACTAGAAAGGACAAGCAGACCAACCTGGAATAGCTAGAGCAACAAAAGATACATCTTCAAAGAAAGACCAGCAGGAAAAACCCCAAACTAAGATGGCATTCCAAGAACAAGCAAGTTGTTCTCCGGGAAGCCATAAAGGCAAGTAATCAAGTCCCTTCAGGACAAACTCCCCTCCAAGACTGAAACTCAAAGGGAACACATGAGCAGGCATGTAAGCTTTCTGGTGACCACGTTGGTCTACTTGTGAGTAGAAGAGGGGGAAAGGCAGCAATGAAGAAATGGGGCTGAGTTCAACTACATTCCATAGACTCCCATTGACCTGGAGATGAGAGAGAGAAGAGGAAGGGCTGGTTGGTCCAAAGTGTGATGAGACCTGGGGAATCCTGAGCCCCTGGACAAGGACATAGCCACAGAGGGCTAGAGCTGAGAGTGAAGCGTCCAGCTGATATGAAGTGAGGGGAGACACACAGGAATGCCCAAACTTGCAGATAGTACCCATTTGACCTAGCCTTGATGGATTGATAATCAGAACTCGACTAGAGGAAGATAAAGAAAATTTTTTTTGATAAAGGCAACGAGTGTAAATTGCTACATATGGATGTACCAACTGAGAGGGAAGGAGTCCTCACATCAAGTATCAATCCTATCTCCTCTGTATTACAGGGTAAATAGAGGCATATAACTTAGACATTGGCTGCCTAAAATGAGGGGTGATAAAGGCACGAAGTGACTGGCTTACAAGTTTTCAAGAGGGAGTTTAGTTTAAGTGTGTGTGTGGGGGAAGATAGAGTCCCCATTGAATAGTTTTCATCTTGTCTAGATGGGTCTACTGAAAAGAAATGGGGATAAGATTTTATGATTCACTAGTAAGTAATTGTTATCATGACTAATTGAAACTTTCACAACTGTGAAGGTAGAAGTTTTGTAATAAAAATGGGGAAGTATTAATCTTACAGTGCAGGAACAGAGGACCCTAGGACCATCAAGGGAGAAGAGCACAAGCGGAATGTGGGACCCTATCCAGAGCAGCAGTAGCACCAGAGATGGGGCAGAGATGAAGACATGGAGAGAAGGAGAAGCTGAGGACTCTAGATTCATGGAAAGAGAGGGACTGAGTGCTGGCAACCAGGAGGCAGGCTTGCAGAATGTGCTCTTTGGTGGTTTCAATTATTATATATTCCTGAGTGTTTTTGTGTAAATCCCCCTACC